GATCTATTTGTACACAATCTACTTGCCACTACTCACTAAGAGCTCTCACAAAAGCTACACTAAAGAGCTCCACTAGATATGTTTAAAGCACAAGGCAAGCTCTCAATTCTAATTACACTAAAGAGCTTTGCTATATCTAGCTTCTTGCGATTATACCGCTCAATTACACGATGAATATATAGCCAATCACCGGAGAATACAAATGACAAGAGACAACCAATTTTTCTCCCGAGGTTCACGTGTTGCCAACACGCTAGTCCCGTTATGTCGACCCAACACTTAGTGGTTACTAAGAGGTGTTTCCAAACCTCGTCCCACACGATAGGACACCGCAAGAACCGACCCACAAGTGATGTAACTCAATGACACGAGCTTTACTCGACCTTTCGGCACTCCGCCGAAGGTACAACTCCCTCACAATCACCACCGGCTGGTCACCAACTCGTGCCCTTCACCGCTGCTCCAACTCGTCTAGGTGGTGGCAACCACCAAGAGAAACAAGCGCTCGAATACCAAGTGCCACTAGATGCAATCACTCAAGCAATGCAAACTCTCCCAATCTCACAATGATGATGGATCAATGATGTAGATGGTGGGAGGGCTTTGGCTAAGCTTACAAGGTTGCTATGTCAATGAAAATGCAAGAGAGTTTCCTTGAGCCCCATGGGGCTATAAATAGAGCCCCCATAAAATAGAGCCGTTGTACCCCTTCACATGGGCAAAACACGCCTCGACCGACGCTCCGGTCATACCGACCGAAAGATTCCATGACTTCAAACGATGTTCGTCGATTTCAAGCGGTTCTCATCCCCACGACGCTCAAAACCGACCGGACGTCCAGCGTCCTTCCGCTTTCCGGGAAGCTCCAGATATTTCTTCGACGGACGCGTCCGTCCACCTTGACCGACGCGACCAGCGTCCGGTGGCCAACCCTTCCTATCGCGGTTGACGACATCGACCGTCCCCCGGAATTGAGTGACTCCAGCGTCGGTCGATGACCGACGCCAGCATCATTTCGACCAACTCCATTTCAACTCTAACTTCTTCACCCTTGCTCAAATGTGCCAACCACCAAGAATTTTGCATCCGGTGCAATAGAAAATAGACATTTCATTTTTCCAAAAGCGCCGAATCCCGCCGAGTATCCTAAATGTGATCACACTCACTAAGTGTCTTGATCACTAAAACAAAATGGCTCCTATATTTTATACCTTTGCCTTGAGCCTTTTGTTTTTCTCTTTCTTCTTTTCCAAGTTCAAGCATTTGATCATCACCATGCTATCACCATTGTCATGATCTTCGTCATTGCTTCATCACTTGGAGTAGTGCTACCTATCTCATAAACATCTTGATAAACTAGGTTAGCACTTAGGGTTTCATCAATTAACCAAAACCAAACTAGAGCTTTCACATGGCGCTGGCGAAGAAGAAAGTAAGGCATCACAGCTTCTCTCGAGACGGTCGGGGTCCCAGGAAGGTGTCGAGTTGGCGCTCCAGCCTCCCATAGTCGAAGCCGATGAGCCGGTCGTTCCCGTGGACATGGGCCTCCGGCGCGTGCAGTTGCAACTCCTCAAGCGCCTCAACGATCGTGTCGAGGCCGGCGGAGTGGAGAGGCTAGACAGCGACGGGGGACTACGCTAACTCTCCCTCCATCGTGACGATGAAGTCCAGGTTCCCAAAGCGCACGTGCGGCCCGGGACCCAGCTGAAGCCGTGACTAGCCATCCGAGGTCTGATGTGGATGTCGAGACGCGCAAAAACCCCCTACCTGGCGCGCCAACTGTCGGTGTTTTGGATCACTGGCTAGTAAATTTCTAGTTTACGCGGCTGGCCCGGATGGTGTGCTCGGAGGACACAATTATACTGGTTCGGACAGAACGTCCCTACGTCTAGTCTGCTGCTGCTCGTGTTACCGGCACTGTCTGTAGTAGGGGTTACAGATGGGCGAGAGAGGGAGCAGATCCCAGGTCTCTGGTGGAAGGATTGAAAAGTGTTGAGAGTTTGTTCAGCTGCTCCGCCTTGTGCTCGTGCCTCTCTCCTTCGTGTTGTGTTGCGTTGTATTCCCCCTTTTATAGAAGAAGGGGAATATGCAGGTTACATCAGAAAAAGAGAAGAGAGAGAGAGAGAAAGAGGGAGAAACTCGAGGAGAAGAAGCCCTCTGAGACCGCCGCGTCCTTCTTCTCCTTCATGCGGGTCCCACGTGACGCTATAGATGGTGATGGGGACGGCTCCATGTCGGGCTCCTGTTCACCACTGGTGCTATGCCTCGACGTCATCAGCTGGTTGTGGCGTTCCATCCCGTCCCGGCGGACGGCGTGGTGAACCGACGTGCATGTCAGCGGCCGTACAGGGATTAGGCAGCACAACGCCCACACACCTGTCACTGTTGGCGATGCGAACCCCCGGGTGTGGCCTGTCGTGGCTACGGGTCACGTCAAGGCGTGCCCGCGCCCCTTTTGATGTGAGAGGCTTGACCCAGACCCACACGTTTGGACCTGTAGTGGTTGGGGGTGGTACGAACCTGTCGGGCAAGGCGGAGCCCGCTTCAGATGGTGTGGATGACTTCAGGATGGAGTTAATGATGTTTCCTAGAGATCACCAATTTATGCCACCAATGGCTCTAGGCATAAATTCTGCCACCAATGGCTCTAGGCATAAATTCAGGTTGCATTGCATCCCCGAAACACAAGGCCCAAGTCAGTTGCCAAGAATACCGTACATGAACCATCCGCTGCTAAATCACATCCCTTCAAACTCATCTCCAGACTCCAGTTATGAAACCAACGAATACATTGAACATTGTCAACCAGATGCAAAATGTTCACCTCATTTTAATGATCTTCTGATGGCCTTGTTCGCTTGAACTACTTCAGCGGTACTTTTCAGCGAACGAATAGTGTTTTTCTCTCGCAACAAATCAGCATAAGCATCAGCATAACCCAATTTCAGCGAAAGAACAAACTGCGTAGCCACCATCCATATGCATCTTACATGTGTCTCATCGACTACCGGACAGTTGGAAGAAAGATCGTTTGCGAGAGATGGTTACTGAGGTACATAAGCATATCCAATTATCCATACGTTGTATATTACAACTTCCAACAGGTTACGTTCCTTGTTTTTTTTTTCTAAAGAGTTCATATATACACAAATACCAGTTCCTTTGGACTAACGGGTTGTAATATTTGGCCTTGCCCTTTCTTAAATTTTATGCAACGATTAAATTCTTAACCTATATTTTCCCGGTTTGAATAAAGCTGTTAGCTTGATGATTTGCAACGATGATTAAACTCTTAAGCTCTTTCATGGATTATTAAATATGTTCGTATAGTTCTACTTATTTTGCACGACATAAAGAATTTGCTAATTTGGCTGGCATTATTCTAAATTGCACTTTATAGATGGTGAATGTTCTAATTTAATTATTGCTTCATTGTTGATGGATTAAATGCAAAATATACATGTCTTTAGTAACAAGTAGAGATATGGATTTTTATTCTTTCTCGTTGCAACCTAAGGACATGTTTGCTAGTATAATTAAAAAATCATCTCTTTTCACTCAGATGTGTTAAAAACTACCACGTTAATCATATAGGTCTAGATTGTAATGGTATAGACCTGTCAAAAGATATATAAAAATAAAAAATACAATACATATTGAAGTATGGAAAGAGATAATTGTGCAAAATTCTGTTGTCAAAAAAAATTGTGCAAAATTCAAATAGCATTATAATTTTATTTTATATAGTAATAAAAGATAAGGAAACTATATGCAACGTCATGGAAGGGGTAAAATATATACACAAGAGCTATCCAAGGCAGCCATCGATTCACTGGCATGTCCATAAAAATCATTGAAGCCCGTCAAATTTCCCAGTCATGCTCTAAGCCTTGTTGCCATCTCAAATTGTCCAATGCGGTAGAGTAGCATAAATAGCATGTTAGAGATCAGCAGCTCAATGGTGTTAGTGATGGTTCCACGATTTTGTTTTTGAATACTTATGTCAATATAGATGTTGATGTGATGATGACGCGGCCAGCCAGGGGTCAACCGGACTGTCATGGCGCTGACCCGGCGGGTTTAATCCACCCCTATGTTTGACACTCAACAGCCGATCAAGCGGGACAGCCCCAAACACCAGAATTAGAAATGAGACGGACAATACTGTGTTGCGACCTTAACAACAGAGCCATCAAGCTCGACAGGCTACAGAAACCGGCTTCAATCCAGTCATTGCCTTCCAAGACCAGGTCACGAACAAGAACTGCTGGTGCCCTCGCCAAACTTCGAAAGACCCTGGAGTTCCTCTCCTCCTACTCAGATTCACCAAAGCCAGGCAACCCAATTTGAGATTTCAGACGATTCACGGACGCTACGGCCGGTCCCAAATGTGTGGATCCTTTGTCTCATTGGGCAAGATATGAGCCACAATTGATGAAAAAAAAAACTGAGGACAGTTCCAATGTCCACGGATACCAACTAGCTGGCAAAGAAACCACATACGCTGCAACCTTCATGAGCTCAGCCTCCGCACAAGTCATCATCAAGCCAAACAAGAAAGAGTGAGCAACCAACACTTGCCACCATCGTAGCACACGGGTGGCTTGCCAATTTCAGGTCCTTTGCCAACTCCCTCTCCATGTGATCTCATGCAATTGTCCAGCCCAAGGTCAAGGCAAACTTGCATGTACGTATTAGAGTCAGAAAAAGGTGAAAATGTGTGGTCTTCCGAGTTGCTAGCCGAACACAATGAGAAACTCACATGCAAAGGAGCAACTATCACTTCAAAAGGCATACACGATTGCAACGTTCCAGAAAGCACACGAGCAGTCTTTTGCAACACCATTGAATTAACAAAGCATGATATTATTACTTGCAGCATTTCATCAGGCTAGATTTCATATAAAAGAAGTACCTTATGTACAGGAGAGAAACATCGGTTGTTTCTTAGCTTTTGGTGCCATTGCATTGGCATCTTCATCTTCATTGAACTACAAGACATGGGAATGGCTTCTGCTCTGGGTTCTTTCAACAAGAAAAGCACTTTGCTGATGCTTACTGCACCGGTGAAGAGAATAGGCAGGATTCCAGCTTCGTGGGGGAGACATGCATGGAGTATTGGAAGAGAAGATCCAAGGAGAGCTGTTCATGCTCTCAAGGCTGGGACAGCTCTCACACTGGTCTCCCTCTTGTACATACTCGAACCTTTCTTCAAAGGAATCGGGAAGAATGCAATGTGGGCTGTCATGACCGTAGTTGTCGTGCTTGAATTCACTGCAGGTAATTCACATTGATCGACCAAAGTATATATCAAGCTGCTGGTAACATTTATTCTTTCCATATATATATGTACTATTCTTTCACCTAGTAATAAGTTATTACTGATCAACAGGGGCAACCATATGCAAAGGGCTGAATAGAGGGTTGGGAACAGTGTTGGCAGGCTGTCTAGCACTTCTCATTGAGTTTGTAGCAGCTGGAACCGGGAAGGTTTTGCGCGCTTTCATCGTGGGAGCTTCGGTGTTTATAATAGGTGTGCTGTAAATCAAATCAATTGTTCATGATGCCGTAAGCAACTCGATGTATGACACATAGTACTCACTGCTGCTTTTTATTTCCTGTGGATAGGATTTGCTGCCACATATGTTAGATTCTTCCCAACAATCAAGAAGAGCTATGATTACGGTGTGCTGATTTTTCTCTTGACCTTCAATCTGATAACGGTGTCAAGCTACCGCCAACAGGATGTGGTGTCATTGACGAGAGATCGCCTAAGTACTATTGCCATTGGTTGCGCAATCTGTCTGTTCATGACTCTCTTGGTATTGCCAAACTGGTCTGGAGAAGACCTACACAGTAGCACCGTTGGCAAATTTGAAGGATTGGCAACATCAATTGAAGGTGGGTACCTAGCTAGTACTATCTTGTAGATTATTAAAAGCTCGTAAAAGTTATTATCAAAACTTACCACGAATTCTTACCAAAGAAAGGTTGCAGCTTGTGTGAATGAGTATTTCCGAGACCGGGATAAAGGCGATAACGTTCTTGATAATAAGCAGGAGGAAGCAAGAGCTTCCATTCAAATCGGCTATAGAGCGGTCTTGGACTCAAAATCCAGTGATGAGACCCTAGTAAGCAACTTGGCAACTTTCTCTCTCTCTCTCAAGATTATTTTTTTTCTGACTCTCTCAAGATTATTGATGATATATATGCATGTATAATGATAGCTTGAACTTTGTTAACAAAATGTCCAGGCACACTATGCAAGCTGGGAGCCAAGACACTCAATGCATTGTTACAGTTACCCATGGCAAAAATATGTGAAGCTTGGGTCCGTGCTCAGGCACTTTGCATACACGGTTGCCGCACTTCATGGGTGTCTGGAATCTGAGATTCAGGTACAGCAAAAGCCCAACTTTTCTAGTGAAACATTTTTTTTTTTCTGTCCCATATCACTTTGCATATAAGCAACAAATTAAAGCCTCCAGAATAAAACCATGCTGATAATGTTCTTTTCCATTGCTGTTGAAGACTCCACCGTCCGTTAGATCACTGTTCCGAGACCCATGCACAAGAGTTGCACGAGAAGTAGCCAAGGTGCTCCAGGAGCTCGCGGTGAGCTTAAAACACCACCGGCGATGCGCCCCCGACGTGCTCTCCGACCATCTCCACCAAGCGCTGCAGGACCTGAACTCGGCTATCAGGTCGCAGCCGCGGCTCTTCCTGGGCTCCAAACGCGCGTGCGCCGCCAACAAGCGCATGCTGATGGAGCTGAACTCCGGGAAGCTCTCGGCGTCGAGAGCCGCGCTTCATTCGTTCAAGACCGACGCGACTGCAGCGTTGTCAGAGACGACGAGGAACGCCCGATCAGATCAGCCGCCGGCGCCGGATCGCAGCGAGAGGAGCGGCATGCTGCGGCCGACGCTCAGCAAGATCGCCATCACCAGCCTCGAGTTCTCTGAGGCGCTCCCGTTCGCCGCGTTCGCGTCGCTGCTGGTGGAGATGGTGGTGCGGCTGGAGCTGGTGATAGAGGAAGTGAAGAACCTGGAGCGGGCTGCGAATTTCAGAGAGTTCACTGGGCGTGATCATCTGATCGTTGATCTCAGTAGCATGGAGACGACGAGGAACAGTAATGCTGCAGCGTTACACCCTGTTTCTGCTGCAGCTGAATGAGGGCTTTTACTGATGGATTTGGGCAGCAATGTACTCCATTCTGACTTTTTGAGAGTGCAGGCTGGAATATTTCTATGCATTTTCTATATAAAAGAACAGCCATTCTGGGAACAGAGATGCATTTTACTCCTTTTTCAGAAAACATGAATCGTCGATTCCGATTAATAGTTGTTAGAAGAAAGCTTTCGTGTATTTTAATCTACCTACCACTGAATTATTTGTCGACATCCCAATAACTGAAGTTGGTGTCAGATATGTCACATGAACAGTGTGCAAACTTTTTTTTCATTTTAAATTCAATAAGCATTGTTTTATCCCCCAAATCAGAATCAATATCCTGCTGACCTGCTAGATCATGGTTGGTTGGTATCTATCAATGCTACTACGTACCTTAGATTTTAAGACAAGGTCCGCACGGGTACTAATGCAGTGCGTGCTCACACTCATCACTGATCATCAGCGGGAGATTCAGCCGATCACTCCATGTTGCGGTAGGTAGCCAGTTCTGGCAGCAGGTAACAGTGGAACCGAAAGTGGAAAAAGCAACGGCCAAGAACACCAAGAAGGAAACATATCTTAACAGAGAAATTGAGATACTGCATCGTGTTCTGTTTAATGTAATCTGATTTGTTTATGCACTGTTTGACTGTGTACAAGCCAAATGGAGTGATATCATGGAAAGTTTAGGCGTAAGAACGAGCATCTCCGAGAGTCCCTAAAAGTTTCTCCTAAAAAGTTCATGTTTCTCGACTCTAAAAAAAATATTAGGAGAAAAAAATAAGATCATCTTCAATAGTACCCAATATTTCACTTCTAAAAGTCAAATTTTAGTCGTTTTTTTTTTTGCGGTACTTTTTTTCCGGCGCGAAAGTGTTCGTGGTCGCGCAACCCTACACCACCGCCGCCTCCTTCCTTCCTCGCGCCCTAGCCTGCGGTACCAGCCGGCCTAGTAGTAGCATTCAGCACAGCAGGCCATCTGTGTCATCTAGTACTAGTAGCATTGAACAACAGTGGCATGCAAGCAAAGCCGGTCTAGTAGTGGTACCATTCAGCAGCAGGCGCCCAGCAGCAGCTCATTGCAGGCAATCAGCCGGCAAGCATACAAGCAGGCAACCTTTCCACACAACGGCAGCAGACGGGCACGCAACCACGGCCTCCCTTGGCCGCGCAAGGATAGGCATGGCCGCCCGCCAGCGGGACTCGGCCGGCCAAAGCCCGGCATCGGCATCCCAGGGGCGGCCACCGGCGGCATCTGCTCGGGCAGGCGTGGCTACACCAGCCATGGCCCAGCAGGCGATGGCTGCCAAACCCTAGCATCGGCAAAACCAAGAAGACGACAACGTAGATTGGGTTCAGCGATGGATTACCTCCTCCAGACGACGCCGGCTGCGAAGATCTCCTCTGTATGGCGGCACGAGATGGCGCCAAGGGAAGAAGAAACCACACCAAAAGACCGCGACAGGAGGGAAACCGCTCGGGAGGAGAGGATACGCACGATGAGGACGGCGCGTAACTTTACGCGGATTGAGAGAGTTTTTCCTAAGTCCTAAAAGATCATGAGTATATATTATGAATCATTGGAGATGGGTTTTTCCCATCTTTCTAAAAAAAATAAGGATTAGGAGGATGTCTATAGAACTCTTGGAGATGATCTAAGAACGACCAACCAATTTTACTTTTGATGTGGTATACGTTCAGAAAAGGATGGGAATCTTCTCTTCAGACTTTTGCAGCGGAGAGAGAAAAAACAAGGCAATTAACGGTTAACCGGTCAGTTCCCAATGCCGCAGAGGCGCAGTACAATGGCGAGCTTCGTAGTAGTACTATCTTGATCTGGTCAGCATGGCCAGCTGCTCCCATCTGTACTGCAGTTCATGGAGCTTCGTAGCAGTACTGCTATCGGTCACCGGGTTATAAGCCGTGTTTTTTTTTAAGGTGAATGAACCGTATTTTTCTTTCACAATAAATCAATCAACAACTATAATTTATTAATTAAATGAACAGAACATTTGTTTTTTTTTATTATTCCACCGCTGGATGTATGGCCACCTGCTCCCATCTGTACTGCAGTTCATGGAGAGTCTGTGATAATTTGTACTGGCCAGCGGCAGATCTGTGCTAGCTTGAGGTGGCCGGCAGGCGGCAGGCAAGGGCGTTGTCTTTGGTGGTCCGTGATGCAGAGAAAAGTCGTCCATCAAAGACTTCTAGATAATCATCTTGCATGATGAGATAAATAGGAAAAGGTCAACGGCTCAACATCAACCTGATTATCCTAAGGTCAAAGAGATGACTTGCTAGTATTTCATGTTTATATATACTTTTATTTTTACTGGTCAATAAATCGAGCATATATATATATATAGCTTAATTAGCTAAGTTCCTGGAAATAAAACATTTACTTTAATCGAATTTCCAACTTAACACGGTTGCTAACTATTACATTTTTTGAAAGCCTCTAGAGATGTTTTCACAAGCTCTAAATATTTATTTGAGTTTTGTGTCCCAATCTATCGCCATGATTTTTTTTGGAATTTTTATTAGAAGCTTAGAGATATTTTTTTCATGATTTAATTAAAGACCTTATCCGTGCGTTGCACGGGAAAATAATAATGATTGGATAATTTAGTTGAACGAAAAGGTGCATCCTAATTACTCACATATGATCTCCTATACTAACAGGCTCGTAAATGTGTTTTTTTTTGTAAGCACTCAACGGTTATTCAGAGAAACAAACATAACATTTCTGATCCTTTTGAATTAAAAAAAGGTGAGGACGCACACTAATCTAGAGTGCTTCTTCAATTAGATTTTGAAGGGACCGATAGTCTCTACACCTAATATATAGGATAATATATAAGTTAGTAGAGTTAACTATCATTTGAGTTTGATCAACTCATCAACAATGCATCTATGTAGTTCGCAGTTTGATCACTACCGTGGAGGAATTTGTGGATGTACAAGTAACTATAAATCAGTTAACCAAGGTATTGGAAAAAGAAAAGGAAAGGGAACCTGATCGAGTCCCTCCTCAAGCTGCTGTGCGATGATGCTCGATCTGCTCCTCGACGTCTCGGCGTGCTCCGGCGGCGCTCGGCGTGCCAAGGCCGAGTTCCTGTCCGGATGATGCTCGTCGTGCTCCTCAACATCATGGCGCGCTCTAGCGGCGCTCAGCGTGCCAAGGCCATGGAGGTGGGTGCTATAGTTTTCCAAACGGGCGGCACTGGACACTACACGGCAGCTAGCACTACACGGCACGGCACTATCAGGCACGGTGTCACTGTCGTGCCGTGCCGTGTATGCCACCGTGCCCAGATTCTGGCCCAGGCATGGCACTAAAGCCCTCAGATAGTGCCGTGCCGTGCCACAGGGCACGGCAGCCCAGCAGACTAGTGCCGTGCCTTGGCACTAAATCTTCCCAGCATACTGAGGTAGAAGGGCGGTTAGCCCTGCTGCTGGAGCCGTCATCAGCAGCGGCGTCGTCCTGGACGGCACCGCCGGTGTTGGGGGCGTCAGTGTCGTCGACGGGAAGTGGGTCAGCAGCAGTACGGCCGTAGAGTTCCTCGGCAGCACGATGGCCGAAGAGCTCCTCGACATCCCCAGCGACATTGTCCTCGTCGTCTCCGGTCATCCCGCAGAGGCGCAGCTCGTCGTTGATGGTCATGGAGAGACCGATGTCCTCTTGCTCGTCCGACATCTCGTCGTCGCCGGCCTCCGGTCCCTCAACGCCAACGCCTACCAAAACCAAGAACAACAAGAACACCTAGGGTTAATAGAAAATCATGAAGAAATCAAGAAGAAGAACAAAAACGAACAGATCTAGGGTTACGGCTCACCTCTCTTGACGGAGCACCAGAGACAACGGCGATGACGACGTCGCGGAGACCCGACACCCTAGTACCTCAACGCATCAGAGCGGAGCCCCAATGATGCCGGACTCTGGCGAGGTCGATGAGAGCGACGAGACAGAGACGAAGACGAACGGTGGTGGATCTCGACAAGAAAGCTACATCGACGGTTAGGGAGAAGGAAGAGTGGTGTAGAAGGCCGTGCCGTGTGCCCATGCCAGTAACCGCCGCCTTAACCAGCCACCGGACGACGGGAAGAAGAGAGGAGAGCGGCTAGGGTTTCAGTCGATGGGAGAGCTTGATGCGGCCATGCGGCTGGAATAGGGATGAAATGAGCTAGGGTTTGAAAAGGTGGGGAGCCAGGAGCGGCGGCTGGCTTATAAAGCCGTTCCACCCGACCCCTAGATCCAACGGTCAGCAGGCGGGGGGCTCCATCCAACGGCTCGAGGCCGTGCCGGCCGTTGAAGCGGGCCGTGCCCGTGCCGTGCCATCGTGCTGGCATCGCGGCCCAGGCACGGGCACGGGGCCGTGCCGTGCTTGGCACGGGCACGGTAGCTGCCGGACCGGCCGTTTTTGTACCGTGCTCGTGTCGGCCCAGCGGGCTTGGCCCGTTTGGAAAACTTTTGTGGGTGCTGTCTGCGTGCTCGTGGAGCTCCTTTCGCGATGCTGTTCGCCGTGTCACCAAGCGCTGGCTCATCCTGCTCAAGCGCCAGTGCAAGTACCCGGAGGGCTAGTTCGTCTTCACGGAGCACACGCTGGCGGTGTCGGCCATGACATGGTCCCGGTTTTTAGGTGGAGAGAACCGAGTTGGAGACGTGGGCGGTGGCAGAAGGATCTCGTCCCGACGCGGACTCCGCGTTCGTTTCGCTGTCGCCATGGCCTCTTCCATCTTGCAGCATTCCCCATGGGTCTTCGGATCCGCGTGGAAGGAGGTGCGCCTGCAACGCAAAGCGTCGCCACGCTCGGACCCTCGCTGTCCCACGTGCCGGATCTCGTCCCGACACTGACTCAGCTTCCGTTTCGCTGTCGCCATGGCCTCTTCAATCTTGCAGCATTCCCCATGGGCCATCGGATCCGCGTGGAAGGAGGTGCGCTCGCAACGCACAGCGCCGCCACGCTCGGACCCTCGCTGTCCCCCGTGCCTGGCCTGCATGA